TGTTTGAGCTCTTTTTGTTAATAAATTATCTATGAGTTGGGCTTTATTATTATTATAAGCTTCCTCATTTTAAAACTGGTTATATTTTCTCTTTATTAGTAGTAAGTTTTAGTTAGCTTAATAACTATTCCTGTCTTCTACTATTTGCATCACATATGTCTGTTCTGTACTTTGTGCTTTACTACTTTTTATGTTTAGATTCTGTATAATTTTTATTATAAAGTTTATAATATGTTTGTCTGGTTAATTGTTGTTTAGTTAGCATTATGTTTTTTTATATGTAATTAGTTTTTTATTACATTGAAGTTTACTACGTGGGTTATTATCAGTAGGTCTTGCTTCGTTATTATGAATTTTAAAACCAGTTATACTTGTTATTTATTGTACACTTTCTTTAATTGATAAGAATGTTTTATATAGACATATACTTTTAAAAAAGATTTATAATAAGATGTTAATATTATTGTTTAAATATATGCTTATAGAGGAATAGAAAGTGTACGTTATAGTAATAATTATAAGATAGAAAGAAGATACGCTATCTTCAAAATTGTTTTTGTTTTATATTTTTTTCTTAAAAAATTCTATGCATTAATTAATTATTGGTTATATTAATCCCTTATATGTATATAAGTTTAGATTGAGATATATTTAATGTAGTTTGTATTAGAGAAATTGCTTTCTTAAGTCTTTATCGCTTTTAAAGTTTAAGTATCGACAGAAACGTCGTTGCACGTGATCCTCCTTCGTGCAAAATTGTTTCAATCTTTATACGAAAATTTCAGGAACACTCCATCATAGGTGGTTTTTATTAAAGCGTTTGAGTGACTATAAAGGATAGCTTATTTAGAAACTAATTTTAAAAGTGCGTAAACTTTCAATCGATAGAGAGGAATGATATATAATCTCTTTTAGATCAAGGCAAGCCTTATACTGAGCTCAAAAAGAATGTGTTGTTCAGTAAGACCACAGCATCCCGAATCAAAGCTCAATATGATTCAAAATTGTTCTTCCAACGAACCTGGGCGCCCACTGATCTTGAAAAATTGGGATTTTAGCTCGACTTGTACGACAAGTGACAATGGGTGCAATTGAATCTGGTCAGAAAGCTTCAAAAATCATAGAAACAAGGTTAGATAGACCAGTTTCAAAATCGGCCTTATCGATAGCATTGCATTTTGCTGATCTCCATGGGTAAAAAAGTGTTAATTAAACCCACTTTGACACACCGTCACAAGCGACTAAGATTTGAGTTTGCGAAGAAGTACAAAAATTAGCCTATTTCCGACTGGGGAAAAGTGTTTTTTTTCGGACGAAACCAAGATCAATCGGTATGATTCAGATGATATTAAGTGATGTTGGAAGCGATCCGGCGATAATCGAATACTTGAACACCAGGTGGTGCAAACGTATAAACATGGGGGGTAGGATTAATTATGATTTGGTCCTGTATAACATCTAAGAGGGCTGGATCTTTGGAAAAAGGTAAAAGGGAGCATCACCACAAGCACGTATTAACATTATTAAGAATGACCTACCCAGAACCTGCGATTGGTATTGCCGTAGGCTTGGTGAAATGGTTTTTCAGAAGGATAACGCCTCAATTACAGTCGTTCCAACTGCTAGATTGCCTTGCAATCTCCTAATCTCAACCCATAGAGCATGCATGGGGGGCCTTAAAGGAAAAATTGGGATCGTACGAATCAGCGTCTGCTAACTTGGACGAGCTTTAGACATGTGCACAATCAGAATAGAAAATGGAAAAATATTAAACCGGATCAATGCTACAATCTGGTTGCCAGTATGCCAAAGAGGACACAAGCAATGATTCTGAAAAGGGAGCTATACTAATTATTACAACCTCGTTTATTAAATTAAATTTTTCCTACCTGCATAATTTTTTTTTGTAATCTTTTAACTTTGGAAGCGCATCTTCTCGAATATTAAACCCACTTAAGATCAACTATTAACAAAATGTAGCTAAAACATAGGAGTTTACTGTGTATAAATTTTAAAGTAATTCATTTAAGTTATTGATATGTTATTCTATATTAAATGAAGAAATGTAAAATATTGAAACAATTTTTCGCGATAGTTGTATAAATCAAGATAGAAGATGGTGCAATCGACTAGCAGATAGGTACAGACGCAATAAGGGTATCCCCTGATACCAAGGGCTTGTTTTGGTTCCAAATTGCAAACAGGTTTATACTTCAATTTAGAGGATAGCCACTTCCATGAAATGGGATCTAATTCGAGAAATAACCTATCTTCACTTGGCATTCGATCCATGCGCTAGTATTACATATTTGAACCGTTGTGCGGTATGTAAATTAGCTATAATTGGGTTATTTTCACATAACTTTTAATATTAATTATTACCAATATTACTGCCATTATTATTGTCATTTAGCTTAAGTTCATCCACTTCGTCCGCTGCATCATAATTAGGGTAGAGGACTTAACTATATGATACTTTAATAAAGGAACTCGCTATTCATGATTTTGTGCTTTTAAAAACACTATGTAATAGTTACCAGTTGAGCCTATTAGAATAAAGAAAAGTACACTCTCTTTCTCTCGTATTTAGAACTGTAGTGGCCTTTATACTATATATATCATTTGGTGAGTTTCCACCCTGTATTGCTTGGATGGTTAATGATAAAAGTGACACTGCATAGGGCGTCTAGCCGAAAGATACCTGGGCAATTTAAATTGTGTGAGCTTACAGCGCGTCATGTTAACATATTGTCTAGAAGCTTTTCTCACTTAACACTTATTGATGTGTGCCTTTAGGGTCCCTAAACCATTAAGACCTTCGAGCGTTTAATTATTTTTAATATTTAGAACTTTTAAGCCTTAATTTCATTTATGACAGCAGATGCTGCAGCCTGATTAATTTCCTATTCATTGTATATATGTAGTTTCTTATGTTATTTAAAAATGAAGCGGTCATTTCTATTTAGCTTTAACAAAAATTACAGTTAAGTGCATCCATTTTGCATCCATGCCAATTATTACATAATTGTTTCTATCGTAAGAAGTTAATCCCATTGTAGTGTGTCTACATAGAGCAGTTGGCCATAGAGCTTGAGACAAATGTGTTATTGACAGTTTTTTTATTTTACAGGTCTGACACATTTCACATTCCTTTTAAACTTATTTTTATAGCAGATTTCATATTACAAAACAAATGCTTTACCTTCAAGTTAATTTTACTAAAGTTTAATATTTATTATTAAATATTATAGGTAATAACTAAATTACGAAAAAAAATCTATAAAGTAACGAAACATGGCTAATACCAAAAAAGATGCAAAAATTTCAACAAGTTTATAGGCATTGGCACTAAAACAGATTTAAAGAAGACTATGTAGCTACACCAACTCATAATCTGTACATGAATGAAAATCTACCTCTGCTATTTTCAAATGCCCTTCGCGCTAGTTCCATCGTTAAATCTTCAGCGCTTCTTATCTCGAAAAGTAGGCAATTCAATATTTTTGATTAAATTGCTTTGCACTACACTTGAAATATCTTTGCCTCGAACAAGCGCTTTGTACCTCAACATTCTGTCTCGCATACTTAGTAAATTCACGGATGTTTGACTTTATTGTCGTGAGTTTTTAACACTATTTTATAACACTAATTAATTTCCGGTGTTTAAGAAGAGACGTACTTGGCCAACATTAGGTACAACACCAAAGCACTAGTCCCCCCAAAAATTAATAAGAAACATCTTTACATAATCTTTCACTTAAAAAGATATTTTTTCTTTGTTGTATGTATAGTTACGCTACGTTTGAAATATTTTAAAAGCTTTAAGTAATCCTGTTTTTTTACCCTCTATTTTTCCTTAAGCTTTATCTTTATAGTGATTCTACGAAAATATAGCCCTATAACCGATAACGCTATAATGCCTACCCGATTCAAGCCTTAAATAATGTTAAGCAGTTCCATTAAACCAATATTAAAAGAGATTATGCGGGAAGAGTCTCAGCAATGGTATATAGGTCTTTACCAAAAGCCTTACCCTTTTAAAGTTGTTTACCCTCACACTTGGTACAAATCAAACTAGTGACTAATTAACCCTTTAACGGGCAAAACTTTGGGGCCTTAAATAGATTTGTTTTTTCCTGCGAAATCCCTTCTTATGTTGAACTCTACTTCTGAGTCCAATATTTGTTTTCAAAATTTGATTCTATGATAATATATCTATAATGTTTACTGGTAAGAATATTTGCTACACCTATTTTGTGCATATAATATCACATAAAAAAAATCAATTTGTATTCTATAAAAGCCATACAACTGCAAAAAATTAGAACATTTATTTTTTAAAAGTATAGGTATACATACTCGTCCAATATAAGAAGTCCGCGTAACACAAGCTCAACTTAACGTTCACTGGTAGCTAAATTTACCACTTTTTTATGTTTTGCTGGTTGCTTCCTAATTCGTTAGAGCATGGCACTCCAACTTACCAGAGATTGTTTCGAAAACCGAGCCTGTCGTTTAGGGTCAGTTTCCATAGACCTACTCTTACGAATTGAACCTAGGCGACAAGTGGTAAACATAGTAACCTGTAACCTAGAAGGGGTCAAAGATATAAAAGTAAGATCCTTACTGAAGACGGAACAGCGTTCACACGCCCGTCCTGGGTTAACATAGTAACCCCTATAAGGGGTCGAAGATATAAAAACGAGATTCTTAACTAAAGGGGGAACAGCGGTTAACACGCTCGTCCTGGGAACCACACCGAAAGTAGGCTGGTTTATATACATTTGGAAGGATCTCATTTGATTTGGTATTCGCACGTGCCTTTATCTGGTAGCTGCAGTTTATATTGATATCAATACCCACCCTAACTGCACAAAAAAATAATGAAAAGCGACGGTCAAAATTAGCGCCATCTATCTACCGTGATTTAATTGGTTACTATTTTTGTTATTTTTTTCATTACTTCAAGGGGGGTCTATATAGTTCGCATTGAGCTCTCGCTTAAAACTTTAGTTCTTTAAGGTGCTGCGCATGAGTTGTGGGGTGGCAGTGCGCCGTATAAACCGTATGATAGAGGTTATATTTTAGTAAATGTCATATTAATCTTTTAAGCTGTGTTATTACTTTAATTTACCTCTAAAAATTACACAGGTAAGATGTTTATAATTTATTTGTTTTAGTTTCCCCTCTTTCGAATATCTAACCTTGCAAGTGTATGTTTACCCTTAAGAAATATTAACTCTCAAACATTTCAAAGATTTTTAGGTTTAAAATAATTTTATTTAGTTAAAAGCTTTAAGTTACAAGTTCATTTAACTGCATCTGCATCCATATGTTATTGACTTACGGGAACGCAATTCATTGTCTTACTAGATCGAGCAAAGTCCTTTAAAGTAAATTCTGAGGGTAAGCGAGATAAAGAAGTAAATAACCGTTGTTATTGCTTTGTTAACTGTTAAAAGTTACTTGTTTTACTAACGGTTAGGCCTCCCATTGCTCTAAAAACAAAAAATCCAAGCGTAAATTTTAACCGTTTTTCGCTTGTACTACCTTTTATTATAATTATCAATTGAACAGAAAAATTGAAAAGGGTAGCGGTTAGTCCGTATCAAATCTATGTAGCTAGCAATTTCCAAAAGCTCTACAAGTCCGGGTTGAGGCCTAAAGAAGCTATAATGCAAGTTGCGCGAAAGTGGAACGCATTGCTCGACTGCGAAAGAAAAGTTTTTTACAAGCAATACTGTCTGCCCTTTAAGTTATTTTAACTTTATTGCCAAGGTTTTTCAAGAGAAATCAGAAAAGTTAAAAAGCTTACTTGGTGAGTTTTTTTTTAAAGCTTACTCACTGTGCTTATTACCTGCGCTTAAACAGTTGATAAAATAAAAAACCCGGTAGCCTACAGTCTCTTCCTTAAAGAGCGCTACGGTGGTTTGGAGGAGAAGCTGCCCCTCCCTATTGCCAGTCCCAAATTCTCTTCCGAGTGGTGGGCCCTTGCTGAGGACGTTAAGGAGGTCGTCCTTTTGACTCTGCCACGCTGAGGCCTCTCATACTTTTAAATTATTCCGGCTAGAAATACGTTGAAAAGGCTAACCGAATGAAATCCAACGTAAAAGGTGGGCTATAACAGTTTCTTTGCGCTTTTCTGTAGCTCACAGTGAAATTAATAGACCTAATCAAAAAGAAACCGGCTGGCTTTGATTTGTTCTTAGAGCAGCACGATTGGGGGGAAAATACAGTTAAGGCAGTAAATCATCTCATTCAACTGTGGAATCTACTACCCGGCGAAAAGAAGGAGGTGATCCGCTGCTTAAAAAAATCATATTTTAATAACAACCAACGAAATAGGAGTACAAGAAGCAAAGCTCCAGCTAGTGAAGACATCTTTTGCTCAACAGAGTGCCGGGCGTTTATGATTATTAGCCACAATTTGCCTATAAAAAAGAATTTCCTATTGATCTTGGGTTAAGTGATCCAGTTTTGTGTTTTTAGAAAAGATGCTTCAAGCAGAATTCGTAGACGATATAAGACACGCTAATAGACGGTACCACCTTGTAATAGTTGGGAACAAGGCCCCGGTATAGCCCAGCCAGTCCCTCTGTACAGGAGCGTTAGACGTATTGAAACATTTGTTAAGCTACTGCCAGCCAACCTTCACGGGCTATGGTGAGTACCGCGTTGAGGGTTCCTTTATACTCAAAAGGTAGATCGCAGAAGATCCCTCTAACCTGCATTCTCCGCCGCACCAGATCCAAAGGATAAGCCACTAATACCGCATAACTAATTCTACTTTTCACAAACATCAAAAGCTTGGGCGTACCAGTCTGAGCAACTGCGCCCGCCGCCGCGCCACACAGTAGGCGAATTGGCACAGGAAGCGCGTCGCTTCCAGCGACGCAGTAGTAGCTTTGAAACAGATTTTTAAGTGACTCATAGACAGAAAAGTTGAGGGCCACGTACGGGGAAATGCCCTTATTTCAAAAGCTGTTAGCAGAAGAGGGGGCAAAATAAAATTTAAAGTTGATGTAAAATCTATGCGGTACGGCGCCCCGATCGCACGCTGCCTTACTGTGCACTTACCAGAAGAGTGGGTGCCAGACCTCGGAAAAGTGCCGTAGATAAGACTCCGCCTTCTTCTGCTATAATAGTGCGACCGCAGTGGATGATACCTAAACGATAAATACGAGAGTATTAAAAAAAGAAAAAATACCCAAGTGTAAATATTATAAATTTAATAGACTATAATACTGCGTCATTTCTAATCATTTATGCCTTATATAAACAAAAGTGTTGGTTCAAATAAGAAGCATTTAGGAAAACTTTTTACTTAAAATCGTTTTTGTGTGCGGTTAATAAAACTGAAGAACGTGCCTAGTTACTTTTGTAAAAAAAAAAAAAAGGCTTATAATATATATAATTCTACAGTCTGCACTGCTTAAACACTACTTTTAACTGAACCAACAACGAATGCAGGGATGTCCTTCTATAAAAAGTAGCTTGTTGCTTTTACTGATCTCACACAAATGGACCGTAAGCATGCTACAAATACCACTAAATATGTGATATTTAGAATATTGAGTCCTGGTTATCTCTATTAAGGTATGTGCGCTCTTAGTAAACCTAGCTAAAGCCTTCGAAATGAGTAAGATACAAAGGTTGCTGCTCAGTATCTTGGTGTGATATGAAAGATTTTTTAAAAGGAAAGCAGAAAGGTTAACTTGATTCTTTTAAAAACGGCTGTGCGTAGTCTTAAAAGGAAGCAAACTCTTAGACTTGGCGAAAGAGTTCAAGTAATGTTTGCTAGCTCAATAGATTTCATGGTAAAATAATCACTCCTCATTTCAAAGTTGTCTTAGGAATACCTTTATAAGTTTGGCCGCTCTGTCTCTGCACGGACAAGCGTGTGCGAATTAGATCCAGCGGATAGGTAAGGGTGGCAGAAGTGACTCCTGCAAAAACCCCAGCAAGTAAGCTAAAATATGCTTTACTTTCATATTCGTTTTCACAAAATATCTAGGATAAAAATAGAGTTTACAAAAATGTGGAGGTAGTATAAAAAAAGTATATACCCGAAAATATATTTTTTTTAAAAGTAAAGCAAGGTTCTTACTCTTTTAAACTGCTCATAAGATGCAAATTGAACAGCTGTGCAAGGGAGTATTCTAATAACATTAGCTCCGTTACCTTGCAGAAAAAGCTATAAATAAACAGCATGTCTTGCAAAAAATAGAGAGCGCACAGTGTTCTTAACACTATAATTGCACAATAAAGTAGCGCCATAAGTACCTTTAAAAAAACCTTCAAATCCTTCTAACTTGTATATTGCACTTAAACAAGAGAATACCGAGGAATACTCTCCTTTAACCTAATAAAACTTATTATAGTCAATAACAGCAATAGTTCTGTTATATAACATTTAAAAAAAAAACTGTAACGTGTGTAAATATAATAAAAACGAAAACTAACGTTTACACCTGAAATATAATTTTTGTTCTTTCTAATGGAGAGACAATAGTCCTAGAGACGGCCCCAGCAATGGCACCAGCGGTAAGGTATTTTATGGTGATCCGTAAGTCCGACTCCTCCTTATACTCTGTTAATAAAAAAAATGAAATACAGAATTAAGTTACAACTATATTGCAGCTACCCATTGTAGACAATCAATTTATATTAACTAACAATATTGGGCAGCCCGGGTACTGAGAAAACAAAAATACAATTAGGTCCCAACAGTTAACGGATTGTAGTGGTTCCAATAGTAAAGGTTAACTGTATAAATTTCCAGGTAGACATGCCAACCCTCAGTAAGCCCATGGCGTGATATGTCAATTGGTAGATCAATTTTAACCGTGTTGTTGAACATACTGAAAACTATCAGCTGTTTAACTATAGCAAAGAGCCTTTAAAAATTAAATGTACGTATTAAATTGTGGTTAAATTAGCGTCGGAAAAGCAGCAGTTCCATTATCGTATTCCCGAAGCACTCTTCGCTAAAGGTAACCAGCAGTTTAGTTTGTCACACTAAACAGTAACTCGCTATCCCCAACGATTTGTAAGTTAAGCAGCAGAGATAATTTACATTATTAGCCTGAATGCATTAACTTAAATTAGTTTGTTGCTGTCGCCACCACAGCTTATAGCGTCACAGTGAACCTTTAAATATAAAAAGCCCCTTGCTTTTCACTGTGGTAATTGCAAACTCTAATTACCAATACCAGTCAAAAAGAAACATTTGAAAGCCCTTCAGAGCCTGAAACAGTAAAGCAGTTAGTATCCGCATTAGGACAACCCTTGGGTAGTAGTCGACCTGCGAAAGCATGTAGCACACGCAAAGGGTAGAGGGCAGGGTTGGGGTAAAATACCTTCCGCTAATAAGTTTTCAGATATGTCTGTGCAATGCCCACACGCGCTCTGAAGACGCAGTTATCAGAAAAGATCGGAACGTAGTGTAAGGGTCAGGCGGGTGACTGGATTTGGCAATTTGTATAGCAAGCCTTCGTGCCAAACTCGCTTAAAAACGCTTTTTTTTTGGTGTGAAGAGATTAACTCCAGATGCCTTTTTAAGTAAAAGATGCGGAATCCCCCTCTGTCTAAGGAGGAGCTGTTGAGTCATTAAATGTCCTTGCCGAAACTCAAAACTGTTATTCTGGCAGTGCATCGCAAGCGTTCACGCTCGCTAGCAGTAGAGAACCTCAAGTACTTTGTGGTCCACTGACAAAAGGCTGACGGGCATATATTTATTCGGTGAGGAAGGTAATGGCGGTTTTTAGTAGCGTAACGCCAGCAGCCGTTTTCCCAGACGTCGGAAGGGGCCGAGTTAAAGGTGCAGTACAATAAATATATCGCCACAAAAGACGTTTGCTTTAATACTGAATTAGTATTGCCACCGGAACTAGACTCTTCTCGTTTTGGTAAAGCTTTAATATCGCCTGAATTTTTTCGGTGCTGGGTGGCATCATGCGGTATGAAACCCGGACAGCAAGATACTCAAAAAAGTGTCGCCTATTCTACCTCGTTCTAGGCGTGTTATCGTAAAGTTATAACCAGTTTTAGAAGTAGAAATTTCAAATTGGCGGCAGCAGCGTTTAGTAGATCAAGGAAGAGCCAGACAGGGAGAGAAAGGTAGACATATATACCAAATTTAGCTGTACTCTAAAAGTAAATTGATTATTTCACTAGACGACATAACACTAATTTTTTTTTCAGCGAGTAAGTGCGCTTGAAAGCTCTTGGTGAAAGAAGGGTATTTCATGAGTGGCGACAATAATACTATGCTCCTTTTCTGGGTTAATTGATTTGGCTAATAACCGGAATGTTAAAATAACCATGCACCGGATACATCCGCCTGTCAGATTAAAAAATATAATAAAGAAGGAATTCACATTTTTTTTTCGCATAGTCAATTTTTTCTTATATTTATACTAATAAACAAAGTTTGAAAACGTGAAAACTTGTGGACCTATTTAATAATGAATTTGTAAGTAGGACACTCTACATAGTTTTACTTTACTGCTCAGCGGTGTAAATAGACAGGTGAGAGACCAAATTGACTTTATAAGTAAATAATCCACTTATAATTAGATAATTACATTATAAAAACTTTGAGGGGTGCTCATAGTTCACATGGGTTTAGTGTATAATTACGAGAAGTTAATTGAATAATTTATAGGTTATTTTAATCTCTATTCGCTAGTGCTTACTAAAGAAAATAGCTTGAATAGGCTAACACATATGAGAGTTATAAAAGATAAGTGCTAAAAAATCGCGTCTCAAACACAGAGATTATAAGGAAAACCCAAAATCTATAAAATCCGGTTTTAGTTTCTATTTTTCTTTCTTTCTTATTGTCCCCTTTTTCTGGGCTCAAGAATAAAGGGATTGGTAATGCGCAACGGAAGCTAGTGATATATACTCATACGCGCCGCCAAAAACTGCGAGCGCGAAATGTCCAATATTTCTAGTAATTCAGCGCTATCTTAACATTACTCATTTAAAACTAGAAGGGAAAAACCAACGGTTGTAAGAGCAAGTTAATCGACTGTACTGACTAACAACTATTAATTTACGGTTTTTAAAATTTACCTAATTCCTTACAGAAAAAACTAGTTAATATAATCAAAACCTACATGTACATTTTCCTAGAGAGTTATTTAAAAAACTTGGAATTTAAGTATACACACATGTTAATAGCTGATGTGTCGAATTTGATTATGATAGGCGTAATAGTTATTTAGCAAACGTCAAACTAACAACGACATGCGAAAACCTTGTCATTTTGGTAATTTGAATACCGTACTGTGAATAAGTACCTTGTGCAAAAAAGTGAATGAGTCAAAGAAATCCACGAAAAATTATTGGCCACTTATGTTAGGGTATTTAAAACTTTACTGACCGGTATCTAAACCTTTAAGCCCTTTAGAATTAATTGTAAACAAATTTATAAATATAGAGATGTACAGATGTGACTAAAACGAAAAAAGCACTAAAAAATCTACACGCCTTCCGGTTTATTTTTCGTGAACCTTCATTATATACTAACAACTAAGCAATGAAATAATCAATAATAATCATAAAATCGCCTAAAAATAGTAATTTGCGTTAAAACTTATGAGGTGGGATCTTTTCCTCAACACCTATCCACAATGTACTTCATCATATGCTATAGCCTCGACTCTTTAAAGAAGAACAAGAGTCAATAAAAGATGAGCGCCCAACACCTTCTTGCACTGTCGTTACGGAAGAAAAAAATATTAAAAAATGGAAACATTACTCCTTGAAGGTTGTTGTTCGTAAAACAGCAGAGGAACTGAGCCTTCATACTCATTTACTAAAGAGCAAGGTGTGCGCGCGTTGGGCACCAAAACGTTAACTCCGCTAAAACGGAGAAGGTGGAAGTTTAGCTTGATTATCTTCGTTATGTGAGAATGATTTGGAGGTGATTTGTCTTCACCGTGTAATCTGTAACGAAACATGGTTTTATCAATACTATTCAGAATCCAAGCAAAAGTCCATCAATGAACAAAAAAGGGGGTAAAACCATGACGCAATTCGAGGTTCAGAGCGTGGCTACCCAATTTATGGCAGCGATATTTTTAGTTAGCGCAGGAATACCTTTGGTGGATACCTCCCTGAAGTAAAAAAGATGAACGGGGTGCTACCAGTTTTTTCTTTTTGGTTTATTTCGGTTTTTTTTTTAATTTTAGTTTCAACTGATATTAAGTCTTGCAGACAAAAACAAACAGCTGAGCGCAAAGTAGGATAATACTCTGTTATGTTTACTGAGTAATAATTTTGTGTATTTTATGACCCGTCAGTGCATTAATCACAATTTTTTCAGTTAACTGCTGTACCATCTTGTCATTTGTTGACCTTTTAACTTAAAAATACATTGCATGTTGCTCGCTTTTCGGCCCTTATGATTGGTTCCTAAGGAGTTTTTTATAACAACTAAGAATTCAAAAAAACTTATTATAATAAATATAAAGTTAAAAAATTTTACACGAGAAAAAAAGTTATACTGTAGGTAAATGGCTACACGTAGTAAAGCCACAGCAAATAACGGAGTAAGAAAAATTTTGCTTGTCTTTGCGGATTGTGATGGCTTATCATCAGAGTTTATTGCTAAAGACCAAACCTATCATACTTTTAAAAATTAATATTATAAATTTTTTTTTTCAATAATTGCTTTAGCAAAGAGTAAGGGATTTTCAATAATCTATTAGACGACATAGTAATCTTTGCAATTAAATGTTTATAGTTTTTGTAGAGATCAATTAGCCAACCATAAAGTTTCTTATTGAGTTAAGAAAATTGTTAAGATCTGTTAAAATATATTACAAAAGAGAAATTAAGAAAGCAATAGACTGTACAGCGAGCGCTAAAGAAATTTACACTCTCCTGCTCAATTATAACAGTGGTATATAAATATTTACACGTTTTTTACTAGTTCTAGTTAATAGTTTTATTAGCATTTTTAACACTTAACTTGGTAGCAATAATCTGCAAAGATGTCTGTCACTGTTTTAAAGATTCCTTGGTAGCCAATCTTGGAGGTTTTAAAATACTGCTAGAATTCTATGATACAATTTTTATAAATATATATTATTAAATCTAAAACATGTACGATTTTTGCGCTAGCGGAGCACATATGTAAAAATTTACACTTAGTAAAAATCGATGGATTTCTTTCGTATTTCGCGCTTTTCTGCTTTGTCGTTATTCGTTCTGTCAGCAGGGTTTAGTAATTGATTAAACTCAAACCAAAGCCAAACAAAAAAAGTAAACTAACTTAATTAGTGGTCTAAAGGGTTACTAATAGCTCGAAGCACTATTTAATAAAACAGTCACATCTAAGCGTTTCCCATTTCTCACTTTTGTTAACACTCTTGGTTTAGGAAATCTTTTTTGTTGCAGACG